CTTGGTTCCACTCTCAGGTTCTGTTCTTTAAGTCATCCTTCCTTTTCCATAACAAAGAGCCAGTGTCTGCAGCTGAGTAGCCTTGTCAGCCTGCTTCCTGCCATCAGAAGTTTGAGATCTGAAGCCCTCTTTTCATTTTGTACCCTCTCTTTCTTTTAGTCTAACATGGCAGTATTTTGTAGTAAAAATATCTAAGAAACTGTGGGTTTTCTGTGAACCTTACTGGGTTCACTTCACTGGACAATATCCATGACCACAAGATGCTTTGCTTACTATGGGTTCCCTGTGAGACTGCTGAGGGACAATGCCCTTATGATTATTAGAAGACATTATTTAATGCAGGTGTATAGCAAGGCAAACTCTTAAGGTCCTTCGAAGGCCTTGGGTATATTTGGAAGTGTCTGTGAGGCACCATCTTAGATCTTTCTGAAGTCTGAAGGGTCATACATTCCCACTCCAGATTTGATCCTTGCTCTGAAGCTATTTCTTGATTGGAGAATCATTTGATGTCTGGAGAGGTTGGAAAAGAGATACAATTATATATTTAAGAGTTTGTTCCTTAGCTCATCTCTTATTGTAGGTGTCACTATAAGTATTCTGCCCGAAAGTCTCTTTAGCTAGATCATTGAGTTCACTCTCTGTCACTGCATAGCTTCCAGTAACATCTTCCTCACTTTCCTTTAAGCCCTCACTAACAGCAGCCTTCTTAAAACAACAGTCATTTCATTATCTTGCACCATTTTCATGTGTCAGGAATTTGGGAAAAGCTTGTCTTGACTCAGGGTCTCTCAAGCACTTGCTGTCAGCCACCGTGGAAGCCACCGTTGTTGTTGCTTTAAGTCATTCAGTTTTGAGGTGATTAGTTCTGTTTCAGTAATACCTGCAGCAGTTAACAGTATTAGTTTCTTTCTGCCCTTTGTCAAGACTCAGTATATCTTCTTCTCTGCCTTTAGAAATCAAAATTTGATCATTCGCCCTTCTTCTCCCCATGCCCACTTGAAAGCTTTCTGTGTTTTTCCTGTTGTCAGAATTCTGAACCCTCTGAGTGTACAACAGAGGGAGGAAACTCACAGGCCTGAGTTGCCCCATGGACTCAGTTTTTAGGCTGTGCGGAGGAATTTTTTTTTAACTGACATACGTGTTAATTTAAAAAGTCAGGAGCATTCACATATAAATCCAAATTATCCACTTCTCTAGGGGATCAGAAGATCTGGCCACACTGGCACCTCTCTGCGGCAGCTGTCAGCCAGTGCTAGGTGCTCCCCCATAGCAGGACAGCACTCATCAGGTCACCCACATCTTCACTTGGCTGGCTTTCACATTTGCATTTTCTGCTTGGCTCCTGTACACCTTTGAATTTGCCATTCTGACTGTGTAGGGTTCTTCTCACAGTTTCTCTGGCTTTATTCTCAGCCATTTCCTTAAACCCATCCCTGAGACCCCAGCGTCTTGTGATCCAGCCACGTTACATGAGTCAGTAGAACTGGCTAAGTCTTACCCTCTCCCTGGGTGGAATGACTTCTCTGCGTGCTGAGCTCTTACTAATACTTCAACAGCCACCCTCCTGTAGTATCCCTTGACAGATAGTCATCTTCTCTTCTACAGTAAATTCTTCTACACAGAATTTATATCTGTTATAGCATTCTCGTTTTATTGAAATCAGCTTGAAATGTCTGTCCACTTCTCTGGGTGGTGAACTACTCCAAGGTGTAGACTTTTATTTTGTTCATCTTTGGTCTAGAACTTGTTACAAAGGTAGGTATTTGTATGAGTCTGTTTCTGTTGCTTATAACAAAAATACGTGGAACTGGGTAATTTATAACAAAATGAAATTTATTGTTTACAGTTTCAGAGGCTTGGAAGTCCAGGCAACACATCTGGTGAAGGCTTTCTTTGGTGGTGGCTTCAGTTAGGACAGGGTATCACATTGTGAAAATGGTGGAGCAGAGAGAGAGAGAGAGACTCTTTTTGTTCCCCTTTTAAAGCCCTCCAAACCATGGCCATGACTGCCATTTTTAATCCATTCACTATGGCATGGTCCTATAATCTAATCACCTCTTCAAGACCCCAACTTTCAATTACTGTAATAGGATTTCCCATCCTCTTAACAGTCACAGTGGGGGGCCAAGTTTCTAATACATAAAATTTGGGGAACACAATTCAAACTTCAGTGAGTTTTGGGGGGACATAATTGAATCCACTATAGTATTCAATAAAACTTTGTTGACTGAATGAATACCTAAGTGATTTTTAAAAATATCTAAGGCAAGCTCTTTGCCCCGAAGGAGTTTATAGTTTGGTATGTCATCCGTCAAGTGTAATACAAAGTAAAATGACATAAAGGTACAGTCAAAATTCCAGTTAAGAAGATCAACAAAACCTTCTTGGATTAGAAGACAGTAGATAATTGGAGAATGTGGAAGGGCAGATCAGGCCAAGGCGTGTTTGTAATGCACATGTAAAATGGTAGAATCATGAAAGTATACAATTTGAATGCAACTGGATTGTAGGGTGTCTCAAATGATGTGTTGGGAAATAAATTTTGAAAAGGTAATTTGGGGCTAGGGTATGGAGAGACTTGAGTATTAAGGAATCTGGACCTATTTTGTAGGCAATAGTGAACTTACAGGTTTTTTTTTGGGAAAGTGCTGTGTGCTACTAATAGCAATATGAAGGATAAAACAGGCAAGAGATCAGAGGCCTGGAGATTGATTAGCAGTTTGTTTTAATAGAAGAGGCACAAGATCAGCATTGAAGGGGACCTGACCCAGCACAGTAGCAGCTGAGCAGGTAAAATTTGCAGAATGTAATGTTTGATAGATTTGGGTTGTGAAAAAGATTAAATATATTGATACTAGTATCATCTGTCATGTCTTGAGTGTTATGCGGCAGGTGTCATGTGAAGAGCTGTATACAACTGTGCCCTGTGGCCAGCGTGATGGGCATAGGGGCTGGGATTTGATTTGGAAGTGTTAAGACAACACTGGAGAATGTCAGAATGAGGCTGGAGGTGCAGGATTAACAAATGGTTTGGAGGTGGCAAACTCAATTTTGAGAATTTGATAAGATGTTCATATGCAACAGAGCACTTGGAAAACAACACGAGATGAAGTTTCCAAGGCCATCAGCTTAGATGAGGGAAGAGAGGCCATGGGGAAGGTATGTTCACTTGGGGAGATAGTGTCTAGTAAGCCAGGAGCAACCAGTTTGTGGTAAAGATGGAGAACCAAGAAGAGTTGAAGACAGAGAAGGACAAGAGAGAGGTAGGAGGAGAAATGTCATGAACAAGTTTTGGAGAGAGCTCAAAGAATGGGGCTCAGCTGTGTTTACAAGATCGTGTTATGGCAACAGAAAAACATTGAATTATATTACTAGGACATCATTAAATCTTGAAGGGAGTGAGAGTGGTTTTGGTGGCCTAGTGGGGACAAATACTTTGCAAGGTATTAAAGAGTGAGGATGGGATAGGAAGTGAGGGCAGCAATTAGAAACTCATTGCTTAAGGAAAGAAGCAGAATCAAAGGGGGTTCCCCCGCCTTGCCCACTCCCCCCCGTTTTGATAGACATGAGAGTGACTTATGCATATTTACAGGTGGATGTAGAGGAGCCAGGGCCTGCTGTAAGTGTCTTGAAGGAATGAATAAATGAGTGGATGAAGGAGGAGCACAGCAGGAGGTGTTGGTCTTGTAAGGGAGAAGGAATCCATTTTCCTTGCACACAGGAGGGAAAGAGGCTGAGAAGGCTGAGAATGTGAAGTTAATTATGAGGAGGGGGCTGTGGGTCTGAGTTGGAAGGACTTGTTGCTCTCAGGGTAGTAGATGAAGTTATTTAAGTGATTGGGACTGGATGTGATCAGGACATACCGAGAGCAGCAGGGGCAGAGGCTAGCAATGGAGAGTAGGAGTCTGACTCCTGCTTTCACATCTGAGCATGGTCACCTCCCAGCTGATGAGCATGGCCAGTGTTTAACTTGCTCCATGTCTTAGTTTTTGCTCTCAAAAATGGGGGAAGAAAATGCTTCTCAGCTCATAGGGCTACTGTGAAGATTAAATTAGTTAATATGTTTAAAGTGCTTAGAGCGTAGGACCTAGCATAATACCAGCTGGTATTGTGGACTGGAGTGAGGGAATAGGCTAACAGTGATGGTAACTGTCGTCTAGTACAGTGCTTCTCAAACCTGTATGAGAATATGAATCATCTGGGATCTTGCTTAAAAGCAAGATTCTGGTTTAGTGGGCATAGCATAGGGCCCAGATTCTGTGTTTCTAGCAAGCTCCCAGGCCATGATGTTGCTGCTGGTCCATGGACCACACTTTGAGTGGCAGGGTTGTAGCAGCACTGATGCCCTGACTAGGAGTGGCTGGTGTGATAGCACCAGGCAGCGTGGCTATGCGACTGTTCGCCAGCCATTCAGGATTGGAGAATGGATGTCTGGGCTGACTCCAGGGCTTTCTTCTCAGGTGTGCATTGGATAGGAGGGTGCATCTGCCCAGGGGTACTAGTAAGTGCAGCATCAAGAGAGTCAGCTGTGAGTTCCAGGCCTTGTGTGATGAGGGCTAGAACTAGGTGGGGCTGGGTGGAAGGAGGAGGGGACGTAGGTCTGGACAGTACAGGGAGGCCAGGCAGTGGGTGCAGGATGTCAGAGAGGTGGGTGTCAGAGGGGGCAACGTCAGAGTGTGAGCTACGAAGACAGTAAAATATTTACTGCTAAAACCTGACCAAGTCTAATTTTGTTTGTTAATTTTTGATGATTCAGAAGGTTTTTTTGTTTGCTTGGCAGTGCCTCATGTACTCTATAAATAGCAGTTAGTCAGAAACATGTTTATACTTCTGGTTGGTAAGATGCCTGATGACAGAAATGTTGCTGTGTGTTGCTTTCTGCATTGTCCAGTATGCACTTGATGGGCAGGCGTGAGGCTGGTGGCTGCTGGATCATTCAGGTTTAGATGTAGTCAGGCACACAGTGTGTTTGGTAGGCAGAGGAGAGGCCGCGTCACAGCATGCCCTTGAGAGGGAAAGAAAGTCGTTCTAAGGAGATTGTGAAATCCCTCGTCCTGGAAAAAGTTAATGTGGCAGTGGAAGAAGCTGGCGGGTACTTTGGAAGGGATTGGGCATGCTGGATTGAGACATTCTACTCAATTTTGGTCAGTATTTCTTTGGGTCACACTCATCTTTTGTTCAGTGGTGTGCTATGCATTGCTGACATATTTAGCACCCTACATGGGAAGTTTATCTGCTGGCTGTCTTATACTCTCCTTACTGTCATTTCCTGTTCTGGTGTCAGGGGCCAGGCGGCACTTTGCCATATTGCACAGAAGTCGTGACACCTAGTATTTATAGAAAGCTCCTGTTCAGAGGGACACCACTGGAATGGTTAGTCAGACTGCTCTGCTGACAGTTCCCCATGTTGCTGCCATCCCCTAGTCCTGCCTCTGACGTTTTACTTGGTGGCCCTTAGAACTGACCATTGAACCACACTGCTCCTCTGTCTGCTGGCTGAAACTGTCTTCTTTTCCTGTGGGTATCAGAACTTTGGTTCATTTATTTAATGAATTTCATAAAGATGCCATCTGGAGAAATGGAGAAAATATTATTTTCCTTTTCAGGTATGGTATAAATACAACTGCTTAATTGTATTATATTCCCAGTGTTGAGAATAAATGTTACTGCATGTAAAACTTTTTCTAACCTCACTCTTGCCAACTGTGTCCTAAACAATTTATGAGATTATGAATTCCTTTAGGTATCACTTAAATTGAGCTCGTTTCTCTGAGAAGCAATGGATTAAAAAAAAAATACACTGACAGAGAAAATAGAGAATAAATTCATTGTACCGCCTCTTGGCTTTGCTAAGTGACCATATCATTTAATAAAACAAGAGCAATGTAATAATAATGCAGTTGTTATTCTAAGAGTAAACAATCTCCATTCTCATCATTGTAGGGGGCGAAGAGGGCCCCCAATACAGAAGCTTTTACACAGCTTTTTTTGAAGGTTTTATTTTGCAAAGTATTCTTCAGTTCCTAAATAAGACCATTTGCTAGTTGGCTCTAAAAGATAAAAGTTGTTTCCGGTCATATCTACAAACTCCCTGCAAGGATGTAACTTTGTAAAAATGATTTCTCTTCTCTTTAGTAGAAGTCAATGTTGTATAAATACACCATGAAACCTGGGTTTCAAGTTATGTGGTAAGTTTATTCCTAGGAGTGAGCTGAGGGGCCATTCTCAAAGATAAACTTGTGTTATTTTTGCTACTATTATACCAATATTTTTCCCTACATTGATTTTTGGATGTTCTTTGTCTTAATATGGTCAGCATTTATACACTTATTTGTTTAACCAGTATTTGTTGCTTAAAAGCCCAATCCCATCATTGCTTTCAATGTCCAGGGCTATAATCCTAGCCTCAGACCTTGTTTTATCTTTCTCTCTTCCAGCAAATAAGACAGACACTGCCAGGATTCTAAAATAAAATAGAAATGGAAGAAGTTGGCTATTTTTTTGTTTGTAGTTTGATTGTTCTTGTGGAAATGAAAATGATAGATCTTATAAACATAAGCCAGAAGGGGAAGAGGGAATAAATTAAATTTTAGGGTGTAAAGCTGGACTACTCTCCAAAAAGAGAGAGATTTCCTTAGTGTAGTTAGTGTAGCCTCTTGAAGAATACTAATTCATCAATCATCCTTGTTTTTTTGTGATTTTGAATTTTGGTGGAATTTTATTCTGTTCCTGGTAAAAAAAAATTTCCTTGTTTTCTCACTTAGTATGTTTTGTAATAGGTGTGGTTTTAAATTTTTTCTTTTAAATGTTGTCATTAACATATGTCCCTCTATTTTGCTATCACCCTGATTTAGTATTGCTAAGAAAATAATTACTTTTATTGTATATGTGAACAGAAAATTCTTTTCTCTTCCCTTAGTCATTTCTTTGTAGCTTTAAAATGAGCAATCTGTTCTGAAAATTCTGAAGGGCATTTCAGCATTTTTTTCTACAGTACTTTGCCAGTTTCTATGAGCACCATTCAAATCACTGTCTTTAGAACAGATTTTTAAAACAACTCAAGATGCAAGTGGAAGAAATATCTATGTCAAGCACAGAAGGGGTTTTACTAAGAACTAAGTGTTGCAAAGGTGAATTAATTAGAAAATATGTTTTGGAGTGGAGAAAAAAGTTCTTTGTTGTTATTTTTTTTTTAAATCAAGCACAACTATTTGCAATTATGAATAAAAACTTTTTACTTGCTATTAATTCTCCGTTTTGGAGCTCAAATCTTCTAGACCACGTGGTCTGGATAACTTTTCCAAGTTGGACATGGTAATGCCCTCAAATCAAGCTCAACCGTGAGCATGTGTTGTGATGGCTTCGCATTGATCTGATCAATACTTAAAGTTCTGTGGTATTTCCCTTGGGGTCAGTGCACCTTCTGTAATGTAACTAAATAGTTTCTCGTCTAGTCTTTCTTCATATTATGGTCTTTCACCATCTTCACAGGACATTTTAGTCAACTTCTTCCAGGCATTTTATCCTTCAGCGGTATAAGGCAACTCACATTTGCGTGGGAATCTGAAGGCTTTGCTTCTTCCCCTGATTTTGCCCTCAGGGCTACGCGATCTTGGGTCACTTTCTGGGCTTTTGTCTTCTCATTTGTAAAATGAATGGATTGGACTAGATCATCGCAAGGTCTTTTTCCTCTGGGAGTTCCTATGAATCCACGGACCATTGGCTGTTATGTCCATATCGCATTCATCTCCTATAGTGCTTTGTTTAATCACGTCTCAGTACATGTTTTTAAAGGCAAATTGCTTTGGTCAGATGCTCATTCTCAGTCATCCTGTCCTTTTAAAAGTTTTGTGTTTTCAACCACAAAGACATTTGGAAAGCATGCTCTGTGGATTACATCTCTACCCTAGCTCACAACAATTTGAAATAATTGAGGAAGACCGATTATAATCTAAACATTGGCATGGCTGGTGATTATAAGGCTATGTTCCTAGCAACCTCACAAGTCTCATAAATGCTACAAAGTGTGTTAAGAATAGTCTGACACTGTTTTGTTTGGCTCAGGTAGGTTGAGCAGAATCCTGGGAAAATAAGCATGATGTCAGGTTCCAAAAAAGAGTGAGGTGGCAGCAGAAGGGCGTTTGCTTTTTTGACTTAGGTTTGAGGTCACTGGTACCTGTAGTCTAGTGAGCTCCCTGCCATCGCTCAGTCATTAGTCAGTGCTTGTATGCATTTCCTCAAGTGATTTTGAAGTCTGCCACATGGCCTTGTTCATATAGTAACTAATAGTCATTAACTGAAGTAAAAGTGCAAACTGAGCCTGATCCCTACTGGCTTCTCTGATATTTTTCGAAAATATTTTGTTCTACGCATGTATAGTAATGCATCTCAAGAACACAGTATTTTTGGGGAAAGGGCGAGCATGGGAGTCTGGAGGCTGTGTAATCTTTTGGGGTATTAACTTGCAGTCGTCCCTGGATGCCTAACCACTTAGTGTATTTCCAGGGTGGTGTGCCTGCCGTGCAGTCCGAGGACGGCACCGGCGCACTGTTCACATTCGACCAGTGAAGAGTTGTGTGGGCTTGTCTTGATTCAGGTAAGAAGAGTTCCTGGGTCAAGCGGTCACCTTCACAAAACCGAAGACGGTGACTGGGAGTGGAGTGACGATGAGATGGATGAAAAAAGCGAAGAAGGGAAGGCAGCTTTTTCTCAAGAAAAGGTAAATGACATGGATGACGGTTAGCTAACCTATGTAAATTTTATTTCTGTGGTATTTTTTTGTCTGTATTAATGGACACATAATTGTTTTACAGTCACGAAGAGTAAAAGAAGAAAATCCAGAGGTGAGCAGCGGTTATTTATTTATTTATTTATTTATTTCCGCCACTTCATCCCCCCTTTGTAGTATCACAGTGTGATCCATTTGGGAGAGAGGCTTCAAAATCTCATGGAGTAGAATAGAAGAAAAGGCACATAGACTTTGTAGGACCTGATTCTGTCTGAGTTATTTTGGGCCGTATAATTTGGGGCAAATTACTTTATTCTCTGAGTCTCAGTTTTCGTCAGATGGGGCTGATCACAGCACTTATAAAGTTGCCATGAGGATTGATGAAACCCCATACGTAAGATACTCAGTGGAGTCCTTAGCACAGACTAGGTAATCAATTAATTTTAACTTTTAATGTTACTGTCATTCAGAAAACATAGTAAGCATAGAGGCAAAGTTCCTTTTGGGTTTTCAGTTTACAATAAAGCAGATATTAAAATGGTTAGAAACTGGGTTGAATCTGTTGGTCTTGATTTCTAAATCTCCTGAGTAACTCAGTAGGTGAGGAATATACTTTTAACAGCTCCCCTTTGAGAACTGGTCATCTTTTGCTAAAGAGATCATTTTTTACTTCCTTCCTCCCTCTGACTAATTATCTTAATGCCTAATGATGACTGTAGTTCACAGGACTTGCTAATTCTCCTAGAGGAAATTTGAGCATATTTAAATAGCTTCAAATATCTTATAGATCTGGTAATTAATGTATACATTGATAAATTCTCATTAAGAAAACAGAAAACTTTGAGCTACGTATGATACCCATCCCAACTTTTTAAAATGAGCAGACCTCTCCTTTTGTTTGAATGGAGTAAATTTTACCATGCAATTTTAAGTGGCAGTAGCCCGCTAGGCCTTCTTGTGGCCACCAGCCACCCTTTCCCCTCTTCTTTCCTCCTTCTGTTCTTTCTCGATCTTTCATGCCACATTGATACCTTTCCTGGGGACTTTTCAGTCTGCCTGCCTCCCAGTGGTAGCTCTCCTTCAAATCCTGTTTCTCCTGTTTATCATATGAATTAATCTTTCCCTTTCATGCATAAAATATAAGCTTTGGTCCAGGACGTTGTTCCCTTCTGTTAGGAGCAATAGAGACAAGCCCCAGCACGGGACACATTGTCTACATAGACATGCTGAGTTTTTAGAAAGATCTTAACAAGGCTTCATGAACTCCGCCCTCTCCTTGCCCACTTTCCCATTTTATCTAGAGTGAAGTACAGAGTCCAGGTTTTTCATCTGTTTCTAAGAGCATCTCTAACTAAAAGTGTCAGTTCCGCTTAGAAGTAGAACAAAAAAACATGGTTCAGGTAGCACTGGTTACTCAGAAGGCATTTGTTATTGGTTTACCAAAGGCTGTCTTCATTGGATTATATTCATTGGATCCTGCCTTGCTAGAACAGACTGTTGGGGGTAGGCCTGTCTTCATGAGGATTTGTTAAGACAGTATCTTACTGTGTGCTTGTTGAAATTGCTCTGATAACTGATGTGTTATTTGAATAATGGCAGTATCTTTTTGGCAGAAATATTTTCCACATAGACAGAAAAGGGAATAATGCATACCATGCTGTCAGTTGATCCTCAAGCATCACTATTGACCTTCTTGAGTGGGAATTGAAAGTTGTAGACACTTCACTGTGTCTACACTCATTTGATTTCCCAGTGGCATATGTCTGTTCCCATGTTGGGTTATAATTAAGGAAACATATGAGTAGGCTTCTTATTTCTGTGAACGGATGCGTGTGTTTGCATGTAAACACTCCCACCAAATTTTATGAACAGTCAGTCCCACCTGCTATTTGCACAGCATCTCAGGCTAGTTTTTTGACACCCTTTCCTCTTCACAGGGCTGGCATTTCAGTATCCTGAGTGACACCAAAATGATGGTTCCTGGGTTCATTAAGCCTTTAATTAAATCATCCCTCTGGTATTCCAACTACCCAAAACTGCTTTCTGTAAAGCAAAGTGTAAAGTATTTTATCTATTATAAAGGGAATTAAAAAGTAAATGTTAAATATGTAAATATTTAACAAATATATATTATATGCCTACCACGGACACTATTTTAATAGGTGTTGGGTCTACACCGTGAGAAGAACAGAACAAAAGCCCTGTCCTTGCAGAGCTTACATTCTAATGAGGGTAGATAATATATAGGAACCTTAATAAGTAAATAAATTATGTGGTTTGTTACAGCGGAATAGAAGCAATACAAAAAAAAAAACTAGGATTGGGGTGGGGTTGCAAGGAGAGGATAGGAGGTTGTAATTTCAAGTGGGCTGGTCAGGGAAGTCCTTATTCAGAAGGGACATAGAATAAAGTTTTGAAAGAGTTATAGGAGAATTACATAGAATAAAACCGAAACACCACTTTTGTTCTGCTACTCCCCTCACCTCTGTGACTGTCACTTCTTTCCAGAGAGGTTAGTTAGCAGTGTTTGCTTCCAAACATTTTCCTGTTCATTTCCATACAAACATGTAAAGAAATCAGGCATGTCATTTTGAAAGCATGAATGGAATTATAAAAACTATAACTTTTTTTTTTTTTTGCAAATTGCCTCATTGTCTTGGAAATCTTTCCACATTAGATATCATAGATATGCCTTTTTAGTTTTAACTGCTGCCTAGTATTACACTGGATGGGTGGAAATGGTTTATTTAACCATTTCCTCCTTGGTGAGCATTTAGGTTGCAATTACAAAATCATTCCATTAACTTTTTTGTGTATGCATTTTGGGCAACACATATACCAGTAAAGTATAGGTACTTAGGATTATGATTGCTTTGTTTAAGCATCTGATGATTTTGAATTTTTGTAGTTGCACCACTGCTGTCAGTAACCTCTGAGGGTGTATCTTATACCTTTAAACATCTTTGAGAAAGAAATTTCTTAGCTGTGCCGAATGGCACATTTAAATGCCAGAGCGTTTACATTTTAATAGGCTTTTCAATAATGCTTGTCATTTAAATTGTAGTTCAGTTATGTTTTGACTAAAAGCGACTGGTAACTAGGTTGTATCTTATTTATGTTTGTGTTCCCTTTGCATCTAGTAGACACTGTATATATGCTTGCTGGTGACCCTTGCACAGAAATACTAACATTAAACAAGTGCATGAATAGGCATATAGCATTTGTGAATAGGTCAGAAGTGGGGATAAAGTTCAGAAGAAGAAGTTACATAATTGAGGTGAAGTTCAGGAAATGTAGTCTTAGTGGTACCATATTTAAACACAGTGAGATGCTGCAATAAAGGAGGGGCATTTTAGGAAAGCTTAATTTGTGAGGGGCTATGTGGTCTCCTGGGAACTATGAGGCACAAAATCTCCAGGTATTACAGCATTAGTTGGAGAAGATTGAGAAGTCCAGAGTGGGGAAGATGTGCCTGATTCTGGGCCATATTTGGAGATCCTCCTAAGTCCAAGAGAATTTCCAATATAACTGTAAAGTTTTCGAGATTCATAGCCAGATGCACTGAAAAACTGGTTCTGTGTTCCTAGCCTTATATTATAGATATGGCCTTGCAAAGTATTAATCACCCACTAGCAATTGCTAATTTGTAACAAGTGGATAATTCATACTCATTTCATTTATTTATCATCTTATTTCACTTGAGTGGTAGAAACCAGTAGAGACTAAAGATTAATAATCATAATAGTAACATTAATAATGTTAATTGTACAAGTGTTTAAACCATACCTCATTTCTGCATGTAGCTGTGCTAGGCACTGTGGGAATTATACAAAAGCAAAGACAGCCTGCTCTTTGGAAGCTTTTCATCTCTTTGGGAGTTGGGGAAGGGGTGGTATAAGCAAGGACTGGCCACTTTAGGTAGTGTTTCCTAGCTTATATAGCGTTTTGGCTAATATAAAGCTTTTTGACTATGATCCCATTATTGATCTTCTTTTGACCAGTGGTTTTGGAATTTATTTTTGTCAGACTCTGAAATGATAAGTACATGTTTTATGACTTTTTGTCAATTTTGTATTATACCCTAATTTTCTATATAAAAAGTAAAATTGACTTCATCTTTAAATTTTATTTAACCGTGGAGGAATTTGCTAAAGCTTTTATTAAAGCAACATTTTTTTTACAGCAGTACCTCAGTTAGGTGACATGAAAATAAGTGATTCCCAGCACTTGCTGCACATCAGAAAAACTGAAAGCTTTAAAAATGCAGATGCCTAGACTCAGTGCAGACATTCTGATCTGGAAGTTTGGAGTGATGTCCAAGCAACTCTGATTTTTAAAGAGCTGCTCACATGGTTCTGATGTGTGGCTGGGACTGACAACTACTGGCTATGAAAACTGCACAGATCACTCTGAATCCAGAAGTCCAGATTGGAATCCAGGAATATTTTGTGCTCAAAATTCCTGAGGATTTATTTTAAATATCTGTATCATAAATTAAAAAAACAAACAAACCTAAGAAAAACATTTTGGGAATCTCATGGGAAAGTTGTTCTTATTTAATTATGTGTAATGAAGCAGATGGGAAAGTTTTTTGACCGAAGCCCAGTGGGGTTCACAAGAGCTATATTGAAGAGTTTCATTATCGAGACCTAGACTATGTTATTTATGATAGTGAATCTGCATCCCAACTCTGGGATATTGTTCTGAGGAGAAAATATATTTGGTGAGCATTTAGGTTGAGTTAATTTTACTAGACATTAGATACAATGTGAAGGCTAAATTTATTGTTTATAATACTCATTGCTATTACCTGATGATTTTTAAAACTACTATTAGCTTTTGAAAATTATTTCTGGTGAAAATATGTTTTCCAAATGCCTGTTAACTCTCATACATGGTTGTTTTATATTCATATGTAGGTGGCGAGAAAGATTTTTTTTTTTTTTTGTCCTTTTTTGTGACCGGTAAGGGGATCACAACCCTTGGCTTGGTGTCGCCTGCACCATGCTCAACCAGTGAGTGCACCGGCCATCCCTATGTAGGATCCGAAACTGCGGCAGGAGCGCCGCTGCGCTCCCAGCGCCACACTCTCCCGAGTGCGCCAAGGGGTCGACCCGGAGAGAAAGATTTGATTTCTCTCAGTTTATTATGCTTAGCCTAATCATCACAGACTGCTTTATGATACCACTTTCTCAAAGGTGTTACTATTGAGACAGGTGACAGGCCATCTGAGTAGTTGTGATGAAAGTTAGATTTGCTGATAATCTAAACCTACTGTATTCTGAAAATAAACTTATTTTGGAAATAATTTTAGATTTACAGCCATGTTGCAAAGATAGTATAGAGTTTCACTATACTTATCACCTGGTTTCCCCCACTGATAATTTCTTACACAACTCTGGTATGTCTGTCACAACTCAGGAACCAGTATTTCTACATTACTGTCCAGTAAACCTTGGAGTTTATTCAGATTTCACTAGTTTCTTCACTAATGCACTTCTGTTCCAGGATCCAGTCTAGTATAACACATCATGTTTAGCTACAGTATTTTAAAATAGAAGTTGAGAAGATTAGGCAGGACTCTATGAAGAGTCCGAAAGCAGATGTTGTCCCTTTCTTCTCTCCATTCTGAGATGTTTTCCTCTCTTTTACCCTGTCCCACATCCCCACTGAGGTCTATTTCCAGGACAGTGCCCAACATTAATCTATTATTTTTTTTCTCCTCCTTCTATTAAAACACCCATTCTCACAATTGCCCTTTTTTAAAGGAAACTGTTTAAAAGGAAAAAAATATGTATGATAAATTTCTGTTGTACTGTTGATGAGTGACAACTGCTGACTGTGTTAGCTCTCTTGTAAGTTTTTACATTTAAAAGAGTGTGCCCCAAAAGCTATGCCCTAATCCCATAGAATGGATCCATAATAGTGACATTTGGGGGACTGCAGTTGGTTGTCGAGGAAGATGTTTTGTACAGGAACCTCCCTCTCCGATACTCCTGCCCATCTGTGCACATGTTCTGAAGAATCATCCGTATTGCTTGTATACCAGTGACAGGGAGGCAGGTCCCTTCACTGTATGCAGGGTTACCCCTACACAGTGAGGCTGCAGGGTGTGTGCAGGGTTCCAGCTCTCAGTCTAGTCTGAGTAAGCTCTCCATCCTGATGATTTCCCAGGAGTAAGGGCTCAGGGCAGGAGATGGGGCCTTGCCAGGGGAAAGAGAAGTTGTCTCTCTTTACTAAATGCCACTAAGATTTTTCATATTATCATTGTTTTTTGACTAAGATAGGATATGATGTAAGTGCTGATGTGGCTTGGTTGTATCTTAAATGTAAATTCAGATTGTGGAATCAGCCTGAAAGATTCTTTCCAAGAGATCATTTGGTATAGGCCCAGGCCCTCTGGCTGGTTAATGAATGCAGGTGGTTGTTCTAACAGACTAATTTTTCCCCAACATTTTATTATGAGAATTTTTAAACATATAGCAACATTAAAACACATTTTATAATGAGCACCATATACCTATCAACTAGGCCCTACTATTACTATACTTGCTTTATCACATACATATCCATCTTTTTATCTTTCTGTCCACCTTAATTTTTGATGCATTTCAAAGTACATTGTAGACATCAATATACCTCTTCCTGTTACTTCAGAACTCACATAGTTTTTTTTCTTTAGTTTAAACATTTACTGGTACGTATTTGTGAGGTACAGTGTGTTGTTTCAGTGCATGCATGTACTGCACAATGATTCACTTAGGTAGACAGTGTAGTTTTGTACCTGTTAGTCCACCACTTTTCCTTCCTCCCATCTCCCCTCCCCTCCCAGCCTCTGGTAACCATTATTCCTACTCTCTTCTTCTCTGAGATCCACTTTTTTTTTAAAAAAGATTCCACATATGAGTGAGATCAGGCAGTATTTGTCTTTCTGTGCCTGACTTAACTTCACTTAACATGATGCTTTCCAGTTCCATCCATCTTGCTGCAAATGATAGGATATCATTTTTCTAATAGCTAAATAGTTTTCCACTGTGTATATATACCCCAGTTTTTTAAAATCCGTTCATCCATTGATGGGCATTTAGGTTGATTCCATCTCTTGGATATGGTGAATAGTGTTGTGAAGAACATAGGAGTGCAGGCGTCTTCATTTCCTTTGGGTATATACCCAGTGGTGGAATAGCTGGCTCATAAGACAGATCTATTTTTAGTTCTCTGAGGAACCTCCATATTGTTTTCCACAGTGGCTGTACCAATTTACATTCCACCAACAATGTTGGAGGGTTCCTTTTTCTCTGCATCCTCTTTAGCCCTTATTTTCTGTCTTGTTGATAATAGCCATTCTCACTGGAGTGAGATGATATCTCATTGCAGTTTTAGCTTGCATTTCCCTGATGATTAGTGATTTGTAGCATTTTTTTCATTTGCTTATTGGTCATTTGTATGTTTTCTTTTGAAAAATGTCTGTTCAGATCCTTTGCCCATTTTTTAATTGGGTTATTGTTTTCTTGCTGTTGAGTTATTTTAGTGCCTTACATATTTTGGGTATTAGTCCCTTGTCTGATGTGTGGTTTGGAAACACTTTTTCCCATTCTGTAAGTTGTCTCTTTACTTTGTTGATTGTATCCCCTGATGTGCAGAAGCTTTTTAGTTTGGAAGCACTGAGAGTAAGAATTTTATGCTCTTGAACTTTAGAAAAATCTTGCCACAAAGAATTTCTGATGATTTCTGATGATTTTAAAATTGATTGTAAGTTGAGAAACAGGAGATCCGTTTCGTTCATTTCATTGCTCTTTCTCTTTGAGTTTTTTTTTTTTGTCTTTCAAGTTTTGCTTCAGGGAAGATTTCACCAAAGTAGGGCTTGAGGCAAAAATAATTTAGGTGTCACCTTAGGGCCAGGTTTCCAACTTTGAGAGATAAATATAACCTATCATGCTGGCATTTCTATTGGGAAAAGTGTTTTTTAAAAACCCAATTACTCTTACATATTTTTGAAATTGTTTGAAGTAACAATTAAAGGGGCAGGTTTTACTAACCCTAATATCCTTTGATTAAGGGTTTCTTAAGTTTAAATGAAATTTTGCAACAAGAAAAAATTGTCCTTCGACATCTTTCTGTTACTAAGTTTAAAATATCAAATAGTCCATGCCTTTTCACTTTAGCTCAGTGGTTCTCTAAAAGCCTAAGGATCATCCAGGGAACTTGTTAAAGATACAGAGTCTCTTCTGCCTCCCTGTAATTCTGAATCATAGGTTGGGTGAGGTGCAAGAGTCTTTAACACCTGTCCTAGGTGATTCCAGTGCAGGTGGTCAAAGGCCCACACTTTGGGAAATACTGCTTTAAGATCTTTTGAAAATGATTATCTCTGATGATTGGACTTAATGTAACTTACACTGACCACAATGTCTCATTTTGGTTTCCTTGATGCTGTAATGGTGGCTCTCTTAACAGATTGCGGTGAATGCCAGCAATATCCCTGAGCAAATACAGTCTCTCTCTGTGCACGACTCTCAGGTAAGTTCCTCTGCCAGTCATTTCTGTTTCAGATGTTTTGTAGATAGATCTTTAGAAAAACCCAACATTTCAGAGAAGAGCTTCCAAATCAGGGATTTGTAAGTTTTTAAAAAAAATATATGGAGAGAAAGAGTACTGTTTACTATTGAGCTTGCTTTGCAGGACCTCTGACTTTTGAATGATACGTTCAAGAGTGAGAATTGATAACCAGACTGAAGTTGCGGGTATTGTGGGAAATAAAAAAAGGAAAGAAAATGGCGTACTGTCTCATTATATTCCACCCATAAAACTTTGTGGTTAATTGATACTTTTATTTTTTGCTCCTGGTTGGATTTCTGTAACCTGTTTTAATAATTCTTTTATCATTGACTTTTATGAGCCAATTCATCTTTACAAGTTGCCTTGTAAAAATAATAGTCCAATGACTGTGAAATGCACTTATAATGCATTCTTATTAAAGTTATGTAACAGAAGATATGTGCTGTGAGTCATGTTGGGTGAAAATGAAGGATGTAGAGCAGTCCGGGGGAAAGGACTACGGTCATAGAGCTGTTGTGCAGGCTCACATTCTTCTGGTTTTGCTGTGTAATTAACAGGCAAGCTTCCAAAGTGGTTATACTATATATAAACCACCATCAGGCTTAGGATCACAGTTTGTTTGTTTTTTTTGTTTTCAAAATCTGTATATTCTGTTTAAATTCACTTCTATTTTACTTGATCTGTTTTATGAAACAGCTGTACATTGGGGAGATGGTTAGAGTGATGGAATTTTGTGCTTGCCGGAAGCCTTTTTGAGGTCAGATAGCTAGTCCTTGGCGCTTACTTTATAGCTGAGCAAGCAAAGACTTGCAGAGGTTAAGCAGCTCACCCCAGGTGACACCACTGGTTAGAGGCAGAACAGCATTCAGTTTAGGTTTTCACACTATGTCAGGCAACTCAGTAAAGTACCTTGAGATGAACTGTAGGGATTGGTTGAATGATAGAAGGCTAGTTGGGAATACTAATGGGTCAGAAGGCAAAGAGAGTAAAGGAAACAGGAAAAGAGATTAGGATAACTAGTATAACATTTAAAAAATTTATGACTCACTTTCACATATGAAGGTCTTTTAATTATATTTTTCCCCAAACTTTTTGAAGTACTGTCGTATATTATTTTATTCCTTCAGTAACCTTTTGAGGCAGGTGTTATCCCCATTTTGTAAATGGGAAAATAGATTCAGGGAATGACTTGGCCATGGTTGCATAGCTTGTCAGTGGCAGAGATGTATCTTGACCAGAAATCCCTTATTTTTCCTGCTCCACCAAGAAGGTTGACTCCTGTCCAGACATTGCTAGGAATAGGGTGGGGCTAGGCAGTAGAGGCACTCATGGTTGATAATCTGTGTTCAAGGATATAGGCTCTAGGTAAGAAAGGCAACAAAGATAAATGGTTGCCTAATCTACTGGGTTCTACCTTTCTCTGCATCTTGAGGTTTAATGTGCCCAACCCTGGTGCATAACCACAGCCCAGTGAGTATCAGTGCATGGCTCGGATTGCAAGATGTCCCTTTAGATGGCTGACCCTTCTTTGGACTTGCTGCAGCTTGTACCAATTGTTTATAGTTTTCATTCCCACAACTGAGGCTTTCTGTATGAAATGTTCACATTCTCAGTTGTGGTGGGAATTAGGCATCACTCCAGCCTTCACGTTGAGGTGTTGTGAGGCCAAATATGACCTGCAGGTGTAAAGACCTCGTTTTGAAATTTCCAGAAATAAAAGGGGCGTATAAATTGAGGGATATTGTGATTTTATTTCTTTCTTTGACAATAAAGTTTATAACACTGTTTGCTGTTTTGTTTTTAAAGGGCCAACCCAATGCTAGTGAAGACTACAGAGAAGGTTCCTGTGCCGTGAACCTCGTTTTAAGATTGAGGTGAATAATACTGTTGTTTATTTTGTATCATTTCTCCTACAGTACAGTATTCTGATCTCCTTCATTAACTTTTCATAATACTAGCATAAAATAAAATTGTTAACTTATTTGATTTCCTCAAACAACCAGTGTATATTGTATTCCCGGGACTAATTGTGCTCTTCTAATTGTTTACTAAAGAAGAAAGAAGAGTGGGTCTGCAGGCTCACTATATCTTTCATTAGGTTTCTTTTTCCTCCTTGCCTTTTTTTCCTTGGGTTTTTCTTTCTTTTTCTTTTTTACAATGTTTAAGATCCCAGTAAGAGACTTTTAATGAGTTTCTTTCACACTTCAGCAGTCGGTCTCTGACAGAAATAAAGCATGCTGTACTACAAGTTGCACGTTCAGAACATTTTTCAGTGGCAGGTTTGATCAGCCACTATGGAGAAATGACAGATATATTCTGAAAGAACCTTCAGTCTTCTAGGAAATAGTTACAAATATAGTATTGGACAGTATAGTCCTTGTCTATACTCTAGTGAATGAAAGCTGTGTCTATTTTAAGGATTTTTAAAATTTAAAGGTCCATCATTGCAATATTCTTTAAGAACTTTGTATCTCGAGACAAAAGAAAATTGCTTAAACTCGATTGCAAACAGCCAAATTTACCAGATCAAGCAAAATACCATCATATTTTCAAAGAAGTTATACCCATGTTCTCTTTCTGACAATTAAATGAATAAAGCATGTGGCTATTAGATGTTTTCAGAGCCGTGGCTATAAAAGCAGGTTCCTCCTCCAGGATAGTTGACAGCCATCTGAGTTGTAGTCCATCAGGGCAGATTATCATTGCCACAATCACACCTTACTTCTTGTGGTCAAGGTCATTTTACAGTCTGAAGTGCATTTTCACGTGCCTATCAGGGGAACCTCACACTAACCCTTGGTGTGATTTAATTCAGAGTCAATTTCCCAGTCAGGAAGTGAAATTATTACAAGACTATTCTTACATTTGAAAGTAGCCTTGATTATTATTTACAATTAGTGAATTTAGCAATTGCCAAAGAATGAAATAGCCCATACCCTTTTTGTTTGACTTTGGAACCAGATACTGTTTTCTTTTAATTTTCTCCTGTTTAATTACTCATTCATTCACTGTATGCCAGGCACTGTATGCCAGGCTCAGTGTTTGTCACTGAGGTACGGTCGTCAGCAAGACTGCAGAGGTTGCAGTCTAGCCCACTGAGTGTGCAGTGTTGGAAGTGACCTTTATAAACCAACAATCCAGTCTCTACTTTATGTGTGGGAAAATCTATTCCTTCACATCCCCACTGAATGTTTACTTAGCCTTTGTGCATACTGAAGCTCACTTTTTCTGTGTGATCTCCCCTTTGAAGGAGAAAAGCTTTAATTGTTAGAAGGTTCTTCCTACTTCTGAAGATTCAACTGACCTTCCTATACTGGGCTCCTATGGGTTCTAATTATACCCTTAGAGCAAATATCAGGCTCTCTGGGTAAGTCTCCTGGAGAATGTGTCAAAATGCATATTGCCGAGCCTTACCTCCAGATATTGTTTTGCTATAGGTACTAGGACAATATAAAGCAAATGCATTCCCTCATTTTTCTGAGAGTCCTTTGTATATTTGTGAGGTTTGTTCTCTTTTACTAGGCAGAGTACTGCAAGTATCTTTAGTCTTGCTTCTCATGGTGTTCGTAGTTTCTATGTTGCCCTCACAGTCCTGGTTGCTAACCTTTATTAACATTTAGTCGGGCCGAGCCGGTGGCGCACTTGGGAGAGTGCGGCGTTGGGAGCGCGGTAGCACTCCTGCCGCGGGTTCGGATCCTATACAGGAATGGCCGGTGCGCTCATAGCACTCACTGGCTGAGCGTTGTGCGGCTGGTCTCAAAAAGGACAAAAGAAAAAAAAAAAAACATTTAGTCTACATGTGCTTTTGTTGCCTTTTCTCTCATGAGTCTAGGTTGTTGTTTTCATGAGTTTGTGGCTTAGATTACTGGTCCCACAAGATGCTCCATGAAGAAAGGATTCCGTGTTCAAATGAGTTAAGAAACAATGCACACTATCCATCTATCTGTACACAAATATACACACACCTCTTTTTTGGAAATCACAAGGAACACTAACATATCAAATGTTCAAAGAAGTTTTGCAGGAAAAGAATTTGTTTGACAGTGTTTAATCTAAATCCCATTTGAACTCAGAACTCTTTTCGTGCAACTATTTCCCAATGTCACCCTTGACCCTTTTGAATGTCACCCATATTTAAATATAGGACTCCAGATGTGGTCTGAGTAGGCTGGAATCTATTAATAAAAAGTGATTTTTTTTGCAGTTCACACTCTATATTTCTCCTAAACTAGTCTAACATTTCATTGCCTTTTGAAATATTCTTGTATGTTGGTGACAAGTTCAGCATAAATTCAGCAGTAAAAACAATTGATTCTATTTTTTTTTCCATTTGAAGGGCTACCAAGCCTAATTCTGAACTGCAACTCATATTTTAAAACTCTAGGTATGGCTTATCATTTATTACTATAATAATTAATCTGTTGATTTTAATTCATTTCTTGCCCACCATATGTTTCAATCATGATTGTCAGTGCATCATATTAGTTACAATGTTTGGATATATGTCACTGGTTGATCTGATGAACCTGTCTTTTAATCTTTTTCCAAAACATTGATTGACATGTTTAATTGTTTTTAAGGGAGGACAGTTTTCTGGCATCTGTTAGAAACCACTCACTTTCTGAATGACTTTTAATAATTAACTAGCATTCTTTGGTATAGTTTTCAACCAGAAACAAATTCAATTTACTCTACTGCCTTTTATTAGACATCTTACTAACTGTTCAGAAGATTATCATAAAGGGATCTGTTAAATATGTTGAAATTCAGAATACTACATAAACAGCATTTTCCTAATGGATCTAACCACCTAGAAATGCTTTCATATAATAGAAATTAACTTTAGTATGACTTATTTTTAGTGAATACATGTTTATGCTAATTGTTGAAGTCTTAGGCTGCTTGGGCTGGCAAACAAAACAAAACAAAACCATAGACTGGGTGCATGAAACAATAGAAATTTTTTTTCCCATTTCTGGAGGCTGGAAATTTGAGATCAGCGTGTCAGCATGGTTGGTTTCTGAGGACTCTCTTCCTGACTTGGAGCTGGCCGTCTCTTACTGTGTCTTAATATGGCAGAGAGAAAGTAAGAGCAAGCTCTATGGTGGCACTTCTTATAAGGTCTAATCCCGTCATGAGGGTCCTACCCCCATGATCTCATCTAAATATACTTACCTCCCAAAGGCTGTATCTCAAAATACCATCACATTGGGGGTTGGGGCTTAAACATGTGAATTTTAGGGGGACACATTTCAGTCCATAGCAGTTTGTATACTCTAAATGTTTAAAAGCTATTTGTTTAACCTATTGCTTTTCATATTTGCAAACTCACGAATCTCTCAGATTACCTGGGGTGGAGGGGGGATATCCTTGTACTCCATTTTGAGAAATAGCCTTTGAAAATTAAAAGCTAAATGCTATTACATGTTTGTGATCACTCTCTGTGCTAAAGTAAATACATTCATTCATTCTATAAATATTTATTGAGCATCTACTGTATGCATGACACTGTTTAGGTGCTATGATGTAGTAGTGGAAAAAAGAAAAGACAAATTTCTTGCCCTCAAGGAACTTACATTCTAGAGCAAGGGAGAGGAAATTTTCAAATATTCAAATTATATATATGATATATCAAGTTCTTTGAAAGAAAAGCTCTGTCAGGAGAACAGAAAGTAAGGGGGGTATTCTATATTATGGAAGATGTGTTAGTTTCTATTGCTGTGGAAAACCCTTCGTGATCTCACAGTTTCTGTGGGTCAGAAATGTGGGCCCAGCTTAGCTGGTTCTCTGCTCTGTGTCTCACGAGGCTGAAATTAAGGCATGCTCATCTGGAGCTCAAGGTCCTCGTCCAAACTCTTTTGGGCTGTTGGCAGAATTTCATTCCTTATAGTTGTAGACTGGGGCCCTCAACTCCTACAGGCCACCTCTCCACAAACAGTTTACAGCGGGACTATTTGCTTTTGCAAGAGCAGCAGTAGACCATCTCCCCTCCCCTCCTCTCCCAGGCCTCAGTCTTTCTTTTAATGGTTTCTTACCTGATTAAGCCAGTCTCCTTAACATAATCTGCCTTTTGATAGTTAACTCAAAGTTAACTGATGCAGAACCTTAATTACATCTGCAAAATCCCTTCACCTTTACCACACAATGTAACTTAATCACAGGAGTGACATCCCATCATATTTGCAGGCTCCATTCATACTCAAGGGGAGAGAGGATTTTGCAGGACATGTGCATCAGGGAATGGGAATATTGGGGCTATCTTAAAATTCTGCCTCCCATAGAAGGCCTCTCTAAACAAAGTGGTATTTGAGCAGACAGGCCCCTGATGGAAGTGAGGAATCAACTCATGAGGCAGAGCTAAAAGCAACAGCAAAGGCTCTAAGCAGGAAGCATGTTATAAGCAATGATAAAAACAGCCAGGAAACCACTGTGAACAGAGTGGTAGGGATGAGGTCAGAGAGTTAGCAGGAGCCAAATCATGTAGAACCATGTATCCTGTGGTGAATACTTTGGTTTTCCCTGTTAGAGAGTTGGGAAACCACTGGAGGTCCGTGAGCAGAAGAGTGATGTGATCTGAGTTAAATTTTTAAAATAGCCCTGCAATTACTTTATAGAGAAGAGACAGTATAGAGACCATATAGAGTGGCAGTGAGAGCCCCTTGGCAGGCTAATGCAATGACACAGTGAGTGATGACGTGACTTGGAGCAGAGTGGGGACTAATGGAGGTGGTGAGCAATTATTGGATTCTGGGTTGGAGAGAAAGAACTCAAAGTTTACTCAAGGATTTGGCCTGAAAGTGTGGGTAAGTGGAGTTGCTATTTTCTGAGATGAGCAAGAGAATTGGTCTTGCACGTTGGGGTGGAATCAAGAATT